CTCTCTCTCTCTCTCTCTCTCTCTCTCTCTCTCGCTCGCTCTCTCTCGTTCTCTCTCTCTCTCGTCCACGTGTTACTGTTAGTCATCGCAGGTGCATCATACGTGTGCGCGGTAGTTGCCGTTAATAAAAAGAATGTGTTCGCGCGAGGTGAATACGCGCTCGTAGTAGTAATGGGTAATTGAGGAGGAGCGTGAGTATATACATTTATATGTATGTATACACGTATATACGGTGCGGCGCGTTAACGGTTCTTCTCTTACACGGATTTCTGCTTTTCATAATACGCGCACACGGTCGCTCGTTCCCGATGTTGTCCCGTCCATATGGCGTCGAACAAAGAAACCGGCAGATCTAAAACGAGTGACAAATGAGTACTTCGGTTGAACAGGTTTCACGTAGCGCGATGTACCAGGTGTTTGAATCTTATAAATCTATACCGAGGTTTAATAATTCTACGCGTGCATTTTTTTTCGTGTTATTAAGTTATACAGTTGTACGACATTGAATCGTCTTACGACTTCTGTTAAAAAAAATTCACTTTATTATGTATTGCCGAAACATATAATGATATGTTACCTTTAATCTTAAGAACATCGCGCGTGCTAAAATAATACTCATTTATAGTCAAGTTTGTCGTTAAGTTTCTCTCTTATGTTTGGCGACAGTAGAAATTGACATCGATGAAAATTGTAATTTCTTTTATTTCGCATTTTCTCTTTGCACATGATGTGTTGTACAGTTGTTACATCCTATGTATGTTTAAGATCTGTATCTGAATCATCCATGTTTATCGTTTCGTTTGTTAACTTCGACACTTAGAAATCGCATTGGGTAATTCTCGTGAAATCTATATCGGCGTATTAACAAGCATTTCGCGTTTATATAGCACGCGAGAAATAATAATTGATATCGTATATCTAACACGCCGCGCGTTATTTAGAAGTTCCGCTGGGCGGCAAAAAGAATCGCCTAATTAAATTTTATCGACAAAGCGTAAAATTATACGAGGACTCCACCACCGACGGAGGTAAAAATTCGCACACAAGCTGCTGCTTCCTCGGGCGGAACTGAATACACGTACAGCACACGTGCCAGATTCGAGACCCGGCATTGATTTTACCGCGCGCTTCGTTGAGCACCTTCGAAAATTAGGGTCGAATCTATAATTGCGGATAATTGCCGATATTTAGAAGACAAACAAGCGCTCGACATTTTTAAAATCCAAAATT